GGCGAGGCGAGGCGGGGAGCGGGGCGGGCTGCGGCCGGCGGAGCCCGGGGGCCGCGGGGCGCTGGCGGGGCGCTGGCGGGGCGCGCTGGGCCCACGCCGGGGGAGACAACCGAAGGGACGGATGGCACGGGCCCGGCGCCCCGGCCCGGGGGCCAGCCCGGGGCGGTCCTACCTCTTCAGCAGCAGGCCGCCGCCCGCGCCGCCGCGGTCCCGGGGACTCACTAAGCGGGTGGTCTCCGAGCCTCCCGCGGCCGGAGAAGGCTCCATGGCCCCGCTGCCCCGACCGTCTAGGCCGCGCGGAGGGGGAGAGGCGGGGCAGACCTTGCGCCAAGCCTGAGCGGCCCGGGGACCACCCGGCTTCCCCGCAGGGCCACCGGAGTGTTGGGAGCTGCGGCGACCGGGGCGCTCTGAGTCCGAACTGCAGAGCCCGCGGCTGCCGGAGCCCCGCCCCACGTGGGGCGAGCTCCCCAAACCCCGCCTCCCCGCTCCGGAGTCCCCCCCCCCAGGGGCCTAAGACGCGCCTTCAGGACCCACCCCCACATCCAAAGCCCCGTCCCCACCCCCGCGCCAAACCGTGGGGGGCTGGTGAGGGGGGGCACCGCCTCGCCCCAGGCCCCGCCCACCAGCTCCCAGCCTGGCGCCTCACACCCAGGGACCCTCCGGCAGCGAACTTTTTGAAGGTGTGCTGCCCTGTGCATCTCGGGGGCGCCGTCCCACCACCCCATCACCCAATCCCTTCGTGGCTCTGGCCCCCACGCGGAGGCAGAAACAGGTGCCAACTCGATCTGGAGAGAAACCGAGAGAATCTGGGGTGAGCAGTGACACATTCCCAAACAGCTCCAAGGACTCCAGCCAGAAATCCCACTGTGGCGGCTCTGGAATAGGAATTCATGAGCAAAATCTGCCAAGCACAGGCACTGTACGGCTAATTATCGTGTATTTTTATACAGGGACCCTGGGTAACAAAAACCTTTCTGCTGTCCTTCAACCCATCTACCAGCCCTACTCTCCAGATGAATAAACTAAGGACCAAAAGCATCCAAGGCCACGTGACCTGGCCCATGGGCCCCATCCTCTGCCCCACCTGGGTCCGACTCTGGCTCGGCCGGGCACGCAGTTGGAGGGAGGGGCGGGAACGCGCGTACCTCTGAGGGTCAGGTCAGCGGCTGTTTATCGACGGGCGCCACTTGTTCGGGATGTCAGCACATGCCTCGTTCCTTGCCTACATTCTGTAACACCGTCTGGTGTGCTCATTTGGGGGAAGACGAAGGCCCGGAGAGAGGAGTGACGTACAGCCTTCGGGTGGCCAAGACTGGAGTCGAAACTTCCACGGCTCAGTGCTCTCTTCTCACACCTGCCGACACTGGGATGAAGGGAGGAGGGGAATTGGATTGCGCATCCTCAGCCGTGACAGTCTGCGGGGAGGAGGGGAGGAGGGGGAGGAACGAGCTGGGCGGAGAGGGGTGGACGTCAGTGAGCCCAGGCGAGGGGCCCACCGTCCGCGCCCTTAGGAACACATCGAACCTCCTCAGCCGAAGGTCCTGGGACTGACACCTGTCCCCGACACGGTGGCTGCAAACAAGGAGGTCGTGTGTGCGCGCCCCCAGAGGGCAAACCAAACAAAAATGAGAAAGTCAAAGAAACCGCGAGCGTGCGACAGGCTCTGGAAGTGAGGGGGTTAAGGCGGGAAGCTTCTCGGAGGAGGTGAGGCAGCGGGCAGGCCGTCGCGGCGTGGGGAGAGCGCGGCTGGGCCCATGGGTCTGCGGGGCGGCGTGCGCCAGCGGGTGGCGCCGAGCGGAGCAGCAACCCGGGGACCCAGAGCGCGCGCCCCAGGCGCGGGGCTCCGGGCCGCCGTCGGCCTTGCCCCTGCGCCTGGCCCAACGGGGGCTCTCTCCTTCCAGCCTCTCCTACCGCCTCGAGGGCCTCCGCTCTGGGCTAGAGTCTCAGGGGGGACGGACTGAGAGGGAGGGCCACTGTTCCAAAGTCACCTCGTGGTCCCACGCCCGGGCCTAGGTGGAAATCGTGTCCCTGTCCAGCTAAACGGGGCTCGTCTCTTGCCCGGTGTCGTCGGTTTTTTGGAACTCGCTGCTTGCCCTGGGCTTCCCCTGATTCCAATCGCGCCGGTGCTTGGGGGCCAGGCGAGGGCCATCCTGCACTCCGGAGATCGGCGTCCCAGCCTAGCCTCCCGGCGGCCCCGGGCGAGCTCGCCAGCGGGAACCGGCTTAGCCGATGACAACAGGGAAGGCGACAACAATGGCTTCCTCGGGAATTCCCCTTCCTGGGCAGCCCGCCGCGCACACAGAACCTCCCCGGGTGCCCGGGAGGGGGCGCGGATATTGGCACGTGCCCGACCAGTCACCGGTTGGGAAGCCCGCGGGCCTGAAGTGAAGACAGGATGACAGCCTCGCTAGGAGTCTGGCTGGCCAACGCGCCGCCTCCAGAGCGCCGGCAGGGGAAGACCAACAGTTGCCTTCGCTTGGAAAGCTGCTTAAAAGCCTGGCAGGAAAAATCGTGCTTTTGCCTGTTTCTCGGGGAGCCACCAGGAGGCCCTGCCGGAATCTTGCACAGGGTTCTTAGGAATGACACCGGGGGGAATCATGCTGCACTGGAAGGCCATGCACGTTGGAAGGCCAGCCTAAGGCTGGCGGCCCTTAGTCAACACACCTCCCACCAACTTCTCTGGGGATTGGTGATGAGAGATAAGACACTGTCCCTCTCCTAATTGTTTCTAGAGAGTTCTCTTCTGTGGCCCCTTGTTAAAGCAGTGCAGCATTGGCTCACCCACCTGAGTCCTGCCCTGTTGGGCCTCTCTAGCAATCTTCCCTAAGGTGACTCATTGGTCATCTCTTAGTCTCAAAGGCTTGAGTGATGAGGACGCCCTGGATGTTCCCAGAACAATTCAGGGCCGGACTCTAGAGGGCTCTGCCAGAACAGCCTAGAGGAAGCTGCAGGGGTACCTAGGTTAAAAGTCCACCCTGGACCAGCTCTCACTGGAAGAGGAGGCACAGAAGTCTGGATTAAAGCTAGGCTCCGGCAGCATTTGCAATCTAAGCATGCTGTGCCCCAGCGCCCCACTAGTCGCAGCCACATGGTCCTTAATTAAGCCGTTCCGAACAGGAGAAGTGGGCTGTGCGATGGCAGCAGAGGAGGCCGGCTTTTACTGGTAATAAAGAGGATGACAGAGCCTGCAGTTTAAATCTCCTCTGCCCCAGGAGCCTTCCCTGCTCTTAACTAGGTCAGGTCTCACACTAAACACCTCCTTGCATGCTGCTTCCTTGGGCATATACCACCCTGAACTGTAACTGTCACTCGACAATTGTTTCATTCTTCACCTGGCTCCAAGGATACTCTGGTTTGGGGTTTGGTTTGGTTTGGTTTTTTGTTGTTTTTATGTATTTTTTTCCTACTCCACTGATTGCCTATTTTCTCTTTCTTTGTTGCCTCCTCCTCATCTTCTCCATCTTTTAGCGATGGATCAGTCCAGGACTTGGTCACTGTGTCTCATTTTTCTGCACTCCCTCCCATGGAGCTATCCTGTGGTCCCAAGCCTTCAAATAGTGCCAAGTAACAACAGAAAGCAGTGGTTGTTAAGGCTGGACGCTGGGTGGCGGGAAACCACCATCCTATTTCACATCTGAAGTGTATCTTAAAAGAATCAAAATAAATGCCATCTATGGATGATAGTTCCCTCCAAACTCCCTACCCAGTATCACTTTAGGGGAGGGGTTCAAGAGAGGGTTTCTCTGTGTAACCCTAACTGTCCTGGAACTCACTTTGTAGACCAGGCTGGCCTTGAACTCAGAGATCTACCTGCCTCTGCCTCCCAAGTGCTGGGACCAGATCTTTCGTTGTTTTTGCTTTGTTTGCTTGCTTGTTTGTTTTGTATTTTTCCTAGTGTCACTTTGATGCCATCTCAAGTGTCTAGCAGGGGGCCAGCTCGGTTTTATAAAGTTGAAAACCGAGTTTCTGATTGCTACCCAACCCCAAATCTCTTCTCCTATAGTGTTCCTATGTCAGAACACAACAATACCCTCTACCTGCTCAGGCCAGAAACCTTACGGCCATTCTTGCCTCTTCCATATTCACGCAGGGCCCATCTGTCACAGTCTGCCCCACACTCCAACACTACCTGCCCTGCCCTGGGATGGTTGCAGGCACCTCCCACGTGACCTCCCCATTTCCACTTCTTACCCAGTATTCCCAGACAGGAAGCTAGGCAGTACAGGTTATACAGGTTAGATTCATTCATGTTCACAATCTCTCTCTCTCTCTCTCTCTCTTTCTCCCTCCCTCCCTCTACCTCTCTCCCTCCCTCCTTCGTTCCCTCCTCGAGTCAGGGTTTCTCTGTGTAGCCCTGCCACAAGCGCACAGCCACCACCCAGCTAGTCACTTTCTCTCATCTAGACAGTACAGGCCAAAGTCCTCTGTTAGCCAACGAGCGCCTACATTGACCTCATTTTCCACTCCTAGCTACTCTCACTTTATGCTACAACATGCCAGGCTTGCCCCTGCCACAGGACATTTGCACTATCCATATTTCTAACTGTACTGGACTCTGTCAGATGTGCCAGGGACCTATTTCCTCATCCTTTTTGAACTGCAACAATAGGCATCAAACCCAGAGCCTGTGCATGCTGGGAAAGTACTCTACCACCACTGAGCTGCAGACCAGCCTAACCTTTTACTAACTTCTCTTGCCATTTTGCCCAAGCCAGATGTGGTGTCATTTGCTTGAAATCTCAGCACTCAGGAGGCTGAGACAGGAGGATTGAGAGTTTGAGGCCAGGTTGGGCTACATGGTGAGTTCAAGGCCATCTAGGACTACAGAGAGATCCTGTCTCACTTAAAAATAAAACAAAACAGGACCAGATTGATGGTGCAGCCAATAAAAGGACTGTCCACCAAACTTGACAACATGAGTTCAATCCCTGACCACATGCCCAAAGGAAAAAATCAAATACTTGTAGCTGTCCTCTGCCCTACACACCAACACAATGGCACATGCACACATGCAAACACATGCACACAAAATAAACAATGTAATGTTGGGGGGGTAGTGCAAGAAACCAAAGCAAAAGGAAAAAAAAAGTTTTGTTTTTTTTTTTTTTGTTTGTTTGTTTTTTTGTTTTAGCCAGATGCAGTGGCACATAGCTTTGATCCCAGCACTCTGGAGGCAGAGACAGACAGATCTCTGTGAGTTCGATACCAGCCTGACCTATATATATAGTGAGTTCCAAGACAGCCAGGGGCTACATAGTGAGAACCTGTTCCCACCCCACCCCCCAAAAAGACAGAAATGACACCTTTTATCCCAGTGTACAAGAGACAGAAGCAAGTGGATCTTTATGAGTTCGAAGCCTAGGTTACACAGTA